TTCCCCTGAAAATCATTCCCCATTCGTCTGTCATCTGCCATTTGACGCTATGGTCTGGATACTCGCAGACACGCAAAATAGCCCACATACATTACTTGTATCTTTTCAATTCGGGAGTCATAAACGTACTACAGAGGGACCCCAAGACTCATTAATAACAAGTCTTCACATTTCCCACTGAATTTATATTTATTTTTTAGCAAATGTTAAATTTTGCTGCAAAGTCTACAAGTATAACAGCTTCGATTGAAGTAACAAAGGGCCGAATTTAAGGGACAGCGACACAGTCTGTCGCGTCGGGGCCTCCACAACACACAAATTTTATTCAGAAATTTTCTTCCCTAAAATAACAAAAAAGTTAGTTTGCATTTTTAAGTATTATAAGAAGATAAGAATTAGCGTAACGTACATTTGTTGTTACTGACAGGGGCCTCCATATTTTGAATAGCTCGTAGCCCCACAACTGCAAATCTGGTCCTGTGATTATGCAACCCAGCCTGTTGACGTAAGAAATGAATACCATGCATTGGGGAGCTGCGGGTTCGAACCTGAGACGTGCATTTAGTGCAGTCTTTCCCAGTCTCATTAAAACTGCGGCACGGTTTATTTTATAGTGCCGACATTGGAGGCACAGCGAGGAACCTGAGGGTCCTCCCTCGAGAACAAATTTCAAAATGAAAAGATGCTTATTTGGGCATAAAGAATATTTTATGTGAGGTGAAATATTCAGGATGAATTGATCTGTTATAGCAACAAAGAAATACATAAGCACAAATTGCGGTCTTCCGAGCTGTGACGCCATGTAGTCTTTTAGGCGGCTACAGATGTTTCGGGGAAACATGCTACCTCTATCCTCAGGGTTGTCGAGGATGTGACTCTTATATAGGTATGTAGATTGGCAGAAGCTCGTAATACATATACATATTGCGCGACACACACTTTGCGAAACGCTGATACAGTATAAAGTGATTGTTGCATTTCGTGGTTTTACTAGGCCTCTTCACGCAACGTCAGCACCATGCCATGACCCCCTTCTGTCTTATTGCACCTATCACACACAAACAACAAAGAGCAGTGATCACCGCTATAAATATACAGAGCTGCCATCTGTTGCACATAAGTGGCAGCACTTGTTAGGTCGTGGTTCTTCGAAGAGACTTTTTCCTAGATGGCAGAAATAGTCAGAGATAGGAAGGTCGTACACGGTCGTACATTAGTGATTATCACTTTGATTTCCGAATTGCTCCAAAGTAAAATGGGTGTATGGCTTCGTAATATTTCTAGGTTCAGACCGGGTCTGACGATGGTGTATAACACTCCGAATTACTCGTACTTTACTCGGCCCAATACAAACCATCGCTGTGGGCCCATATATTGATATCACATTTGTGGTCTGGCCTCATGGCCCAGAGCAGTTACAGAATCTCCTCAGCCACCTCAGTAGTTTAAGGCCCTCCACCAGTTCACTACGGAAATAAAGTTGGCCAATGAGATTCCTTTTCTGGATGTTCTGGTCATCGGGAAGGAAATGACACTGGCCACCAAAGTTTAGAGAAAACCCACTCATGCTGTGCAATGCGTCAACATAAAATGTAACCATCCAATAAAGCTAGAACGACAAGACTGTTTAATGAAGTTACTGGTCTGAGATGTGATCTTCAGCTCAACAGTCGGTTACCCCAAAGGATTCACTTTCTACATTATTAATTTCAAGGGTAGCAATCATCCAAGTAAAGTCTCTTGGCTCTGTGTCTATCCCACATATGAAGTTGAAGTGTAGAGGGAACTGACATAATATTTGGAGGATCTTCAAAACCAAACGCACTCTTAGGAGTTCACTCCTGAAGTCCAGGCCAGAAAGAGATTAGCAACAGATGAAAAAGTGCATCTATCGCATTCCCTGTGAATGTGGCAGAAGCTAGATTGGTGAAACAGGTAGACCTCTTGCCATTTGGCTCTGTGAACATAGCCGCAATCTCAAAGAGGGTCTTATAGAATAATCAAAATTTGCCCAACCTGCCTGTGAAGGGGGTCATAGGGTACGCTGGGATGAAGCTAGGATTTTGGAAATTGAAAGTAACAGCAAGTATAGAAAATACAAGGAAATCAGCCCAAATGGCATGCTTAACCATTCCGATCAGCCGAACCAGTTTGAACATTTCTCCCATCTGGATTCCAAGCATCAGCAATAAGGTTACCGACTCACAGAGAAGATCAGCGTCGATTAGTACTATGTGACAGGTTTCAATAAGGTTTCAGTCCAGAGTGTTCAGTTTTTACTCCATAGATGCGCTGGTGGTAGGAACAATATGATGTCTCAGATTCTCAATTTAACCTTAAGCATTGGTTTTCATGGATTTGGTTTATTGCAAAAACGACCACCTCAGATTCTATCTTAGTTTCAGGTTCATGAATGTTTTATCACAATTTGTATCGCATATTTTCCTGTTATCTCCCTTTCACAAAGTCTGGTCTCAGGTATTTATACAAGTATAGCTGTAGTTACACTGACATGGGTTGTCCAGTGACTGAGGTTAGGCTCTTACTAAGAGGCTCTAGAGAGTAAGTATCTCTCTCACCCATTAAGTATGGAAACAGATCCTATTTCCGAAATGTTATTATGTTCTGTAGTTTCTAGAATACTGGACGATGGGTGAAGTCCAAAAACCCAAAATTTGCAATAAATAATGTTTGTTTAACAATGCTGTTATACCCCCTCCTTTCTCATTCCCTACACAGTAGACTTGACCAAACAGAGGCTTGCAAGCTACAGTTTTGAACTGTTGGTGTAGCTCACAGAAAATAGGGTACTCAGTTTCTTATCTGACAACTGAGTGAATCTAAAAAGCAGGGGCATGAAAAACGCATACCAAACATCAATTCCCAAAGGTGGAAATGGCCTTTCAGAACAAAGTCGACATTCCAATTAAAGGTTAGGTGGTCACTCCTGATTAGTAGAAAAGCATGGTGGAATGACCAGCATTAAGAGGAAATTATTAGAATGCAGATGCATGAATTCATTCGTATGTATCGTTGAGAATCCTTTAAAGCATTTGTAACAGCTTCCATAGAATGAAGCATTTTGAATTTGGTAGCTGGTGTCTTCCTGAGAGATCTAACAGTAACAATAAAAGCAGTGGTGTAGCTTGGCTGTGTTTGCTCCTTGTTGGCTACACATTGATTTACTATTCAACCCTGATTATGGAGACAATGCATTTATTCTGAAATGTCATTGACTTCTATCAGACTACATCGTGTCACATCAGAAAAAAACTGTAATCTGAAAAGTAAAGCTATTGATCTTGTTGAAACTAGGCATGCATGGGATTGAGTTTTTCAGCTTCAGGCTAGAGTTTGGACAAAATATGAGAATAAAGACAAGAATGAGACAAATTTTGTTTCATTGTAATCACAGTTCATAATGTTAGCCACCTGTTCATATTGCACTTCTCATCCTTCTTGACCTCAGATTATTTTTCAATGAAAATTCTTCATAAATGATTGCATATAAAGAGAGAAAAACTCAGTCCTGTGGCCATGTTATTTTTCACCATGAATAGAAAAAAACTGGGGAGAAGAAACTTTTTGACAAGTTGATTCATGCCAACCACTATGATTTAAATAGCTGTGGTAGTTTGTGAGCTATTGGGCAAAGCAAAAGTATTATCTGAAAATTCTCAAAGTCTGAAACTGAAAAATCAATGTCTGAATCAAGAACGTGGATTTTTTTTCTTGATCTAATTCAGACATTTGAGAATTTGCACATGCCTAGCTGAAAGAGAGCTGTTCCTTTCACATCTTTCTCACAGCAAAAACTGCAGGTCCCTACCTGCTGGCTGGCACATTCAGTGGGCTGTTGGGCTAAGAGACTAATGAGCAGCGTTTTCAGGGTTTGTTGTGAAGGCTTCTGTCTCATACTGAAGTGTGACTGCACTCTTGAGGGTTGAGACTCAACAATTGTTTCCTGCACATCTTTGATGAATGACACAGCACTCAACATCAGACACATTGGAGCAACACTGTCTTGATTATGGCTACTGACTGCAAGATTCCACTGACATCCCATATATGGCAACTGAGTTTTGGAAGGTAAGTTTGCTCTGCAGTTGTAACTTTTCCACAGAATGAAAATATATGCACGCTAAGCCCATGTTAGGATAGAAATAATATTGTAGGTTACAACAGTGGTTGGATCTTCCCAAGTGTGTTGAACCGTATAGGGTCATCCTTGTGCAGTTGCCACAGATTCAAGAAACTCCCAGCTGTTATGGAAATTGAAGATTCGTCACCATATTGACATAATCACATCACATACCCTATCTCAATTTGTACCATTACAATCCGTATCTTTTAAAATACTTGTTAAAAGCTTGTTGGACTTAGCTTTAGGGGTGAGGGTGCACCAAGGAAACTGACAACCCCAAAGCAACGGCAATTTCCGAGAATTGTTATCATCCTGAGCTGTCTTTCTTAAGATCCACTATAACCCTTGCTGAATTAGTCAAGAAGAAATGGTGATATGTCTCCATGACACCTCTGGAATTCCAATGTTGAAAACAAAACCAATAAACAATTTTATCACAATTTGTGCATATGAAATTATTAGTTTATTTTCACGCACTATACGCAGAACATAAGAGAGTAGAATCTCTAAATAAGATGTCTCATGATTAGCATCGAAGGAGTTTGAAGTATTCTCCAATCTGTAGGTCACAAACATGAAGCAGGTATGTTTTCTTGCTTGGCTTATTCTTCGACCCTGACGATAATGACATTTTCCTTCGAAACGTCGGTTGACTTTCAACTGACTACACGGAGTTGTATCCTAAAAGACAGAACTTTTTACGTAATATGTTGTTGACGAATTTAGCTCTTAAAATTGCGCCTTTTCTAGGTATTACTTAAACAGTCCGCGTTTACAGAGGTCAGCATTTGTCATTCCGGAACGTTCCGGAAGTTTACCAACATGAGGTAAATATATTTTACATGTGCGTACATTTGTCAGTTTTGACCGTTTTGACATCGAATGCTTTGGGCATAATGTTTTCGTAGAATTATTATTTAAATGAAATCTTATGTAATTTTATAAAGCTGTCGTTAAATATGTTTGAAATTACGACAGATCGGAAAACACCCAGAAATTGTGATAGATTCGAAAGCACCCAAGATACAGGAATGCGTTTGTCAGTTGCTTACATTACAAATATGTCTTTTTTTTTTAAAATTAGAAGTGAAATGTTTTGAAAGCAGGAAAGACAGTCTTATTATTGGCCTATATTATATGAATTAATTGAAGACGTGCCGTTAAGGAAGATTGAAATGTTCTATAGTGTCTTCTTAGCAACGTGTATATGCTGTACAAAACTCATAGGGTTGTAATTTCGTAACGTATTCCCATTTAACGATTATGTATCGTACGTAAACGGCATGCTTTGTTTTGTTCCAGGGAGTAGCTAGGCCTGTAAAGATGAGTACATTAAAAGGATTGTTTGAGAGTCCAAGTGAGTATCCATGGACTTGTAATGGTCATACTGCATTTGTACTTATTAGAGATACTATTATGTGTATATTCGAAGTATCGTAGTATAGAGTGTGCCCCAGAAATAAGTATAGGAAATTGGAGGGTGACTGCTATGGTCAAAAACATTGAAAATAATTTATATAAACATGGGCCTTGAAATGCTTCAGCAGCGAATTAGAGCCATTTGAAGGTAACTTGGGTAGCACTGAGTTTAGAACATATTCTAGAGACACTTTTGAAGGAAACTGAAGTTTGATTTGTTTCATTCTGGTCCGTCACACTAACAATTATAAATACAAACCACTCCGTCCAATGTGACATATAAGTTTTTACTACGTTAAAACTTATCTCCCTTACATGTTTCGGTCCTTACAGG